AAGAAGACATTTAATTCTAAACATAGTCAAGTGTTTATATCGAATTAAATTTGGACAGAAAAATAAACAAAGGAAAAGTGTGACAAAAAGAAATAAGTGATTAACACTTTCAAATTTTAAGATAATCATAAGATAAGAAATTCAACTGTTGGTCTTAAAGGTAATGAATAAAAATTTTAGATTTAAATTGCAATTTGTTAGCATGACTATAGAATTCGAATTAACACCGATTAATTAGATGGTCTTATTACACAACTCAATTCATGAATTATTACCAAAATGGAAAAGGTTACAAATATTGAGATTCACATGGTGAAATAAAAAATATATATATATATACATATGGGTTTAAAATAAAATTGTTAGATTGAAACCCATGTATATATATATTGAATAGCATATGTACAACTACAATTAGTCTATTTAGATGAAATCAAATAGAGATATATTATATGCTATTTGTACTGTTCAGGTGAAATCAAATAGATATATACATAGGTTTAAAAAAAATTATTTGTACACATGATCAATGAGAGATAAAAAAAAATTCATTTTATGAAATGTGAAAGATGAAAAAATTCATTTTATGAAATGTGAGGGACGAAATAATTCATTTTGTAAAATGTAAGGGACTATAGATGGATTATGTAAATTTTGATTTGACAATTTTGCTCCTAAAAAATAATCACATGCAAGACACGTGATGAATTCCGACAAAAAATTAGTCGAAAATCTAGGTAGGACCAAATTTGATCAATGTGAATTTATAAGGGACGAAAAATTACATTTTTAAAAGTGAGGAACGAAAAAAGTTATTTTACAAAATGTGAGGAACGTTTTACAAAAGTTGGTCAGGGAACTCAGTAATTTTCTTATGAATAAAAATTGATTATTTAGCACCTAATTTTAGCCTCATTCCTGTATTACTATGTTTACATTCAGCAAATTTACGTTCTTGAACTTTCAAGTTATGCGCAAGGGATATTAAAAAAAAAAGAAACGTGTTTAATGGGCGCGAAATAAGTAAAGTAGTCCTTAAATTTAAAATATTAATAATTAGCGGAAAAAACTCCTTTTTTCTTTAGAAAATACCACCTTCAGATTATTAAGTTAACAAGAAAAGGTACAATGAGGAGGACATTAAAAGTATACATAGAAACTTTTAAAATCTCCAAAAGAATTTCACTGAAAATAAAGTAGAATATTCTAAAATGTCGAAGTCTTTGTCGGGGTATTTACTTCTATGCAACGGCTAAGTGTATTTTAGATGTTCTTGTTTAGAGATTACATTGGCATTTAATTGGAGATGTATGTATTTAATTCTTCAATTCAAAATTTGGAAATTTCTAGAGCACACTGATTTTGACAGGATTATCAATAAGGGTGATGGACATATGTTGCCAAAAAAAAAATCAAGAAATTGGAGTTTAGCATACAGTTAATAGCTTCAGTCAGTGAAGATGAATTGAGGCACGAAATTATTAAATTCCGTAAAAAAAAAAAAGGGCCGAAAAGGAACAAAAAACGCAGATGTCATTTGATGATTGCTAGACAATAAGCACTTACTCATTAAGGTATATTTTGGATGTTAAAGTACTTTGAAAAGTAAAGTTAATTAGGAAACATATAAAAGACGAATTCATTGAACTAATTACCAACAACCGCGGAAAGAACAATTGATGGAGTCCCATAAAAGTGGAGTAGAAGAAATTGGAATGTTTATTGATGAGAAGTTGGTGAAAGGGGGAAAATAGCTACCAACGACCGATTAGGGTGCATTTAATTAAGCAGAAAATGATTTAAAGACCCAAGCGTGTAATAACAACAAAAAAAAAAAAGTTTGGGTGAATGAGGAGAAAATGAACTGAGACTAGGGGATTTTTTTTTTAGATGCCGATCTGGGCGATAGAGGAAAGCAATAGTTGGTTGAAATTTAAGTAGCATTCAGGGGTCGCATAGAGGAATTTCAAATTCGATTAAAGATAGGTTTTTTTTTTATGTTAATACATATTTATTTTTCTTAGTAAAAACAAGGAAACAGAAAAGAAATCCATGTTCTTGGAATGAACATTATTAGCACATAAGTAGTGTTTTCAGTGTGTTCTTATTTAAACAATGTATAGTTATTTATTTTTTTCTTTTTTGATGATAAGCCAATATAAGTAAAATCATGTTGAAAATATATCAGTTTGTTTAAATATATATATATATATATTCAAGTTCTGCTTTTTTTGTCTTTTTAAGGAAGTTGTTGTATCTAAAATCATGGTGGAAGAAAGAGAGGGTGTGAATAGTTGTATTCAAAATCATGGTAGAGAAAAAGAGAGGATTTGAGTATTTTTAAATAACTTTAAAGGATATTTTTTATTTAACATTACCTGACATAAATTGTTTACACCAAAGACAAGATTCTTCCATTATATACAGTAAGTATAGATATTCCAACTGCATAGAGAGAGATTAACATTATTTGCAATGTATTGATTTTTGCAATTTGTGTTTGTAAATTGGTAACTATAAAATGGGGGCGAAAGTGGTAATGTAGAATGTAAAAATATTATTGATTTGTATTTTTTGAATTTGTAATTGTGGGACACTAAGTTTTAACCCCAGAAAAAAAAAAACAGGTTAATTGGCTGTTTGTTTTCTCAATTGCGGGATAAGGGGTTTGTTTTCCCGTTTAGTGGTCAACGCCACCTTTTTCTCCCTTCCCTCGGTCAATGCCACTTTTTTTTTTGGGATAATTTCAAAACCCTCCCTCACGACATTTGAAAATTTCACCTGGTATTCTTGAGATTTTCAATATTACACATACCTGTCTAGACCCTAAAAAAGACCATAATAGCCTTAACAATATATTTGTTTCAGGCAATTAAACAATCCACTCCTAATCTTGTTCATATGAATACATCACACAATTAGACATTTAATAGAAACAAAAATAAAATTCACTCATAGAATAGCTGATCATGTACTAAACACAATAATAACATATTAAAATTTAATTTTAGCTTTGTTTGAAGGATCTGTAGATGAATAGAAGAAGATGTAAATTGGGTTTAAAAAGGATAGGGTTGGTATTGACACTCCAATATTGAGGGATAGAATGTTATATTGATGCAGTTATTGAAATTTTTTGAGTTTAACAGTGCAAATTTTTTTTTTATTTTGATTGAGGTTTTAGAATTTAAGGATTAATGGTGATAATTATACTAATTTGAAATGTGGTAATATGAAAGGTTTAAAATAGTAGAAATGAGGGTTGAAAATGAGTTTGAAATTTTGTGCATGTTCAATAAATTTTGAATAATTTTATAAGAAGGTGAAATGAACTCTACAATATCATGAGAGCATTTTGGATTACTCATTCAAAATTTTAACCATTACATAGTTTTAGTTACCAAAACGGTAAACTCGACGGAGGTATATGTAATTTTTCAAAACTCAAGAAAATTAGGTGAAATTGTTAAAAACTTCAAGGGAGGTTTCCGAAATTATCCCTTTTTGTCCCTTCCCACTCTCCTATTCCCTCCTTAAACCCCTACCCCAACCCTGCTTGCCAGGAGGCGAACTGCTGACTTGATAAGCAGGAGCGTAGGTCCCTAACCAATAGTCCAAAGAGGAAAATATGACACAAAAAAAATAGAGATACAAAAATGTAGTAAACCATGTAGTCATTGTAATTACGTGCTTACTTTGTGATTAACCCCTTAATGACTAAGAAATAGGGGATCGTGTGTTGGGTTTGTGAAGTGATCAACTAACCTATTATTCTTATTAACATCTTGCTGACAAGGTTGGAGATTATCTTATAAGTAATCATCAGAACCAGCTTGTGACGGGTTTTTTACTTTAAGTGCAAGTTTAATTCCGAATCATACCCGTTTTGCTGCAAGTATACAGGCCAAAATCGTAATATTGGGTATGTATCGGGTCGATCCCACGAGGAGCAATTAAAACAATTATTAGATACTACTTACTCTATTATTCAGACTCACAATAAATTTGAGCAGAAAATTCAGAATTAATCCAACTACAAAAAAAATTCTTAACAAGATAAATGCAATTTCACAAGAGGAGTAGAATTCACTAAATATTAAGATCTAGGGATGTAGATTCCACATATGACACAAAAGATCTAAAATGAATAAATTTAACACTTGTTACTACTCTTGTTTAACCAAGGATTCATTTCCAACAATACCAAAATCACATTCTCATGATAATAATGGGTTAAAACATATTAGTTTTTCCTAATCTCTTGGTAAATACTAAATCTGTTTTGTGCATACATGAAATGTAGATTTCATCCACTTGAATGTATTTCTATTCTCATGAATATACTACTCAAGCTCTACTTATGTCATTCCATTATTTTTACCATTTCTCAATGAGTAAAAAAACTATAAATGAGTAGTTCTCTCTCTTTGAGAGCTCTTTCTCTCTCTAGCTGAGAGCTTTCTCTCCACTGAGTGGGAGATTGAAATTCAAAAATTCAAAAAACCACCGCTCAAACACCAACAATTCAACACTCAAAAAAAAAAAAAAAAAAAAAACTAAATTGCTAAGCTCAATCCATCGGCGTAGGTCCATATGCTAAATCTGAACACCCACTCTCAGACAAGGTCCAATGAGTTGTGGGAACACAAAAATCAACAAAGACAAGAAGAAGTTTCCACGCATTGAAGGGGGTCTTTAAAGAGGGAACTAAAAACAGAGTAGCCATGCAGGAGCAAAGGAAAGCTTGGTCTTCTACGCCGAGTCAGTATATGCTCATAAATTGCTAGGTTTTGCTGCTGCCAGGTATCACTGCTGTTAGCTACTTTACTAAACCTTAATCACACATGCACTTGCACGATTAGGGTTGCTTTTTGCCTATCTAGTAATGTATTTACCTACAAAAAAGTGTAATCTGATTTCACATTCGCACTGAGTTGTTCAAGTCTTTAATCATTGGATAGATATAGTTAGAGGAATCCCTTTTAGATCTACTTGGGGCTATGGCGGATGAACTGGAGGAGGTGTTGAAAAAATTTGCCCTGTCCAAAATAGAACAGGATGGAGCATGGCTGGAGCTGGATGACTTCGATCCAGGAGTTTCTGCATGTATGACTAGTATTATAGGCAAAATAAGAGGAGAAAAGGTGGCAAATTTTACTGGGGTGAAGAATTTTGTCAATGCAGCATGGGGATACCCTAAAGATCTTACAATTACTGAGTTGGGGCCCAATCTCTTTCAGTTCTTTATACCGGATGTAGAGAACAGAACACGAATTCTCAATGGGGGGCCTTGGTTGATAGATAACCAAATTTTAGTACTCAATAGGTGGGAAGCAGGAATAGAGGAAAACACTGAGGCATTCAGATTTGCCCCACTCTGGGTGCAAGTTTGGAATTTGCCAATCCATTGGATATCAAAGGAAGTTGGGAGAAAAATAGGAAAGGTGTTTGAAGAGGTTAAGGAAGTACTAATTCCCTACTCTGGAGGTAAAGAAGGAAAACACCTTAAATTGTTAGTGAGTGCAGATTTGTCCAAACCACTGCTAAGAGGAACTACTGTGAAGACTAATGGCGTGCTAAAATGGGTTAATTTCAGGTATGAAAGGGTACCGGATTTTTGCTACAATTGCGGCATAGTTGGCCACAGTGAAAAGAAGTGCAAGAATGTAGTAACCATCAGGAAAGGGCAACAAGAAAATCAGTTTGGACCTTGGTTGAGGGCTCAGGTAGGGAAGAATTCCCCTCAAAAAGATGATAGGACCAGTACTTTCACTCCAGATAAGCAAGAGTGGGGATTCCATAATGGGGAATGGGTTAAGAAGAGGGGCGGGAAGTGTATAGTACAGGAGGGTCATCTTAATAGATCTGGGATAGGGAAGGAAGGGAAGGAATCTATGAGCAAGGAATTAGTGTTGCAAGGTCAGGTGGAAAGGGTAAAGGAGAGGGCTCAAACTTCAGGTCAAGAAGATGAGGATATACAGGAGGCACAAGAGACTGATTGGTCTAAGAAGGTGGAGGAGGTGAGCAAAGATGAAGAGCAGACACCTAGACCAGAATCAAGTGAGAATGGGAAGGAGATATCTGAAATGGAGCCATCTGCAGTAGGAGCGATGGGGAACAGGATTCAAATTAATGAGTTGGATGATGGAGGAAGTATGAAGACAGCTATGCAGGTGGATGGGGAGGAGCCTATTCAAGCTAAATGTGTAGGAACAAGGAGAGGGAGGAAGGTGAAATTGTTAAACAAAATAAGTGCAAGAGATAGAACCCCCCTGAGAGAACTGCAGAATTTGGAACATGGATCTGAGCTGAACACCAAGAGGAAACTGCACATTGTGGATGAGGAAATGGTAGAGACGGCAGATGTGGATACAACCACCAAGAGGAATAAAGTGGGGAATGGGAAGACCTTTATTGGTCGGGACAAGAGGGTGGAAGAGACCAGCCCAGTATGGTCTCTCAATCATCCATGAGGGCTCTGGTGTGGAACTGTCAAGGTGCTGGGAGCCCCTTGACAGTTCCCCATCTGAAGGAGGAAAACAGACTCCTCTCCCCAAATATTATTTTCCTAAGTGAAACAAAAAATAGGAAAAACTACATGGAAAAAGTTAAAAAAATTTTGGATTTTGAAAATAGCTTTATAGTGAAAGCAATGAACAGAATTGGCGGCATGGCCTTATTGTGGAATAATGAGGTGAAGATCTCTGAAGTTCTAGGAACAGCCTTCACTATTGAGGCAAAAGTGGAAGATGAAGAGAAAAAGGAAAGTTGGTGGTTTATTGGAATATATGCTAGTTGTGATGGTCAGATAAGAAGGAAACAATGGGAAGTTTTAAATAGAAGGAAATCACTCTGGGGAGCAAAATGGATAATCATGGGAGACTTTAACGACATTACTTCAAATGATGAAAAATGGGGTGGAAGGGTAAGAGATAATGGGAGCTTTCATGACTTCAGGAATTTCATAAATGATAATCAGCTGGTTGATGTGGGTTATGAAGGGAAGCCGTGGACATGGAGCAACAACTGGTATGGGCCTGGAGAGGTAAAAGAAAGATTGGACAGAGGTTTATGCACTTTAGAATGGTCCAAATGTTATGAGGAAGCAAACTGTACTCATATAGAGTCCCAGGCTTCTGATCATAGTATGTTATTACTTGAAACTCAGAAGGACAGGAAGCAAAGAAGAAAGAGATTCCAGTTTGACAAGAGGTGGCTCCAACAAAGTGAGGTAGAGGAAGTGGTTAAGAAAGCCTGGGACATTCCATGTACTGGAACAAGATGGTTCAAGGTAAAAGAGAAAATTAAGAATTGCAGAATTGAGTTACTAAAGTGGAGCAGTAGCAAGAAAGGAAATTCCTCCGAAAAAATAAAATGGTGCAAAAGCCAGATTGAGGAAATCAAGGCATCTAATGGAGATAACAAGAAGCAACAAGTACAGGATATGAAGGGACAATTGAAAAAGGCATATGAGGAGGAAGAAGCTTTTTGGAATCAAAAGTCAAGATTGAGGTGGCTAAAGGAGGGGGATAAAAATACTCAGTTTTTCCATGCAACGGTGAAAGGAAGGAGGAAGAGAAATAGGTTGCAGAAGTTGAGAAAGGAGAGTGGAGAATGGACTACTAATGATGAAGAACTGGGTGGGGAAATAGCCAAATATTATGTGGACTTGTTCAAATCGACAGCAAATGGGCAGCTAGAGGAGATCTTAACGGGGATTCCTATAACTATAACTGAACATATGAACAAGGATTTGACCAAAAAAGTGGATGAAATTGAAATAAAGAATGCATTTTTTTCTATGGATCCTAATAAGGCTCCTGGAAATGATGACATGTCCCCCCTCTTTTTTCAAAAATTCTGGAGTCTTATTAAAAAGGATTTGGTAATTGCAATCCAAGGTTTCTTCCATCATGGAGTCATTCTCAAAGCCATAAACCATACGGTTATATCCTTGATCCCAAAAGTTGATTGTCCTACAGAGATTAACCAGTATAGGCCTATTAGTCTTTGTCAAGTGGTCTATAAAGCATTAGCAAAAATCCTTGTTAACAGACTAAAGCCTTTCCTAAGTAGATGCATCAGCAAAAGTCAATCTGCATTTGTACCAGGTAGGCAAATTCTAGACAATGTCATCCTTTCTCATGAGTTAATGCACTATCTAAAAAACAAAAGGCAAGGTAGTGTGGGCTCTATGGCAGTGAAACTGGACATGTCTAAAGCCTATGACAAAGTGGAATGGAGCTTCTTGAAGGCTATAATGGAAAAAATGGGCTTTTGCTCAACTTGGGTAAACTGGATCATGGCATGCATAAGTACAGTAACCTACTCTTTCAATATTAATGGTGAGCACAAGGAGTTTGTCACCCCCTCAAGAGGTATCAGGCAGGGCGACCCACTTTCCCCTTACCTATTTCTGCTTTGCTCAGAAGGACTATCAAGTTTGCTGCAGAAAGCTAAGATAGATAAGGAGCTGACAGGTATAAAAATTTGCAGGAAGGCGCCTACAATAACGCATTTGTTCTTTGCAGATGATTCCTTGGTATTCTGTAAAGCTAACAAACAAGAAGCAGAGAAGCTGAAAAGGATCCTCAAAGTGTATGAAGAAGCAACAGGGCAACTCATTAATATGGATAAGTCCTCAGTCTTATTCAGCAAAAACACCTTGCCATCTGTGAAGAGTGAAGTATGTCAGGCGATGGGATCCATTAAACAGGTTGAACAAGGCAAGTATCTTGGGTTGCCAATGGTAATATCAAGATCAAAAGAGCAGGTATTCGGATTCGTAAGGAACTCAATAGATAAGAAACTGAAAGGATGGAGGAATAAGTTGTTAAGCCAAGCAGGGAAGGAAATAATGATTAAAGCTGTGGCAATGGCAATGCCTACCTACACTATGTCCTGCTTTAGACTAACCAACAAGATGTGTAAAGAAATCAGTTCGAAAATGGCTGATTACTGGTGGGGTGATGCTGATGGGAAAAAAAAGTTGCACTGGATAAGCTGGAAGAAGTTGACAGCTAAGAGAAGCAATGGAGGAATGGGCTTTAAAGATTTGAAGCTGTTTAACAAGGCTCTATTGGCTAAACAGATCTGGAAACTAATAACACAGCCAAATTTGTTAGTCAGTAGAGTACTGAAGGAGAAGTACTACCCCAAGCAATCACTTTTCAATGGCAAAGTACCGCAAAATGCTTCTTGGATCTGGCAGAGCTTAGCAGGAGTAAGAAAGGAATTGCAAGAAGGAATTAGGAGGAAGATTGGAAATGGGAGAGGTACCAGAATATGGGAAGATAATTGGATCCCAGGAACAGTGGAAGGGAAACCAACTACTACAAGGCCATTGGGGTGTCAACTGACATTAGTGTCTGACTTGATCAGGCACAACAGATGGAATAGAGTCCTGGTATTCAAAACGTTTAATTCACAGGATGCGGAGAGAATATTGAGTATACCATTAAGTGTAACAGGATGTGAGGACAGCTATTTCTGGATGCATTCCCAGGCTGGACAGTACACAGTTCATTCTGGTTATAAAGCTTGGCTGAAGGCAGAGGAAAACAAGTACACAAGAAGGAAGGAGGATGCAGGAACAAGCTTTGAAGGAACTAACTCCAAGATATGGAACTCATTGAGATTCACATGGTGAAATAAAAAATATATATATATATATATACATATGGGTTTAAAATAAAATTGTTAGATTGAAACCCATGTATATATATATATTGAATAGCATATGTACAACTACAATTAGTCTATTTAGATGAAATCAAATAGAGATATATTATATGCTATTTGTACTGTTCAGGTGAAATCAAATAGATATATACATAGGTTTAAAAAAAATTATTTGTACACATGATCAATGAGAGATAAAAAAAAATTCATTTTATGAAATGTGAAAGATGAAAAAATTCATTTTATGAAATGTGAGGGACGAAATAATTCATTTTGTAAAATGTAAGGGACTATAGATGGATTATGTAAATTTTGATTTGACAATTTTGCTCCTAAAAAATAATCACATGCAAGACACGTGATGAATTCCGACAAAAAATTAGTCGAAAATCTAGGTAGGGACCAAATTTGATCAATGTGAATTTATAAGGGACGAAAAATTACATTTTTAAAAGTGAGGAACGAAAAAAGTTATTTTACAAAATGTGAGGAACGTTTTACAAAAGTTGGTCAGGGAACTCAGTAATTTTCTTATGAATAAAAATTGATTATTTAGCACCTAATTTTAGCCTCATTCCTGTATTACTATGTTTACATTCAGCAAATTTACGTTCTTGAACTTTCAAGTTATGCGCAAGGGATATTAAAAAAAAAAGAAACGTGTTTAATGGGCGCGAAATAAGTAAAGTAGTCCTTAAATTTAAAATATTAATAATTAGCGGAAAAAACTCCTTTTTTCTTTAGAAAATACCACCTTCAGATTATTAAGTTAACAAGAAAAGGTACAATGAGGAGGACATTAAAAGTATACATAGAAACTTTTAAAATCTCCAAAAGAATTTCACTGAAAATAAAGTAGAATATTCTAAAATGTCGAAGTCTTTGTCGGGGTATTTACTTCTATGCAACGGCTAAGTGTATTTTAGATGTTCTTGTTTAGAGATTACATTGGCATTTAATTGGAGATGTATGTATTTAATTCTTCAATTCAAAATTTGGAAATTTCTAGAGCACACTGATTTTGACAGGATTATCAATAAGGGTGATGGACATATGTTGCCAAAAAAAAAAATCAAGAAATTGGAGTTTAGCATACAGTTAATAGCTTCAGTCAGTGAAGATGAATTGAGGCACGAAATTATTAAATTCCGTAAAAAAAAAAAAGGGACGAAAAGGAACAAAAAACGCAGATGTCATTTGATGATTGCTAGACAATAAGCACTTACTCATTAAGGTATATTTTGGATGTTAAAGTACTTTGAAAAGTAAAGTTAATTAGGAAACATATAAAAGACGAATTCATTGAACTAATTACCAACAACCGCGGAAAGAACAATTGATGGAGTCCCATAAAAGTGGAGTAGAAGAAATTGGAATGTTTATTGATGAGAAGTTGGTGAAAGGGGGAAAATAGCTACCAACGACCGATTAGGGTGCATTTAATTAAGCAGAAAATGATTTAAAGACCCAAGCGTGTAATAACAACAACAAAAAAAAAAGTTTGGGTGAATGAGGAGAAAATGAACTGAGACTAGGGGATTTTTTTTTTAGATGCCGATCTGGGCGATAGAGGAAAGCAATAGTTGGTTGAAATTTAAGTAGCATTCAGGGGTCGCATAGAGGAATTTCAAATTCGATTAAAGATAGGTTTTTTTTTTATGTTAATACATATTTATTTTTCTTAGTAAAAACAAGGAAACAGAAAAGAAATCCATGTTCTTGGAATGAACATTATTAGCACATAAGTAGTGTTTTCAGTGTGTTCTTATTTAAACAATGTATAGTTATTTAT